TTAAACTCTTTTTTTAACATTGAAGTCAATGGGAGATGCCTTGAAATCCACTTTTCCTACACTTTGCGCCAAATGCATCTCCTTCCACATAATTTCAGCCAGACACTTCATTCCAACTTTCAAATGATCACAATACCTTCAGCTATAAAACTTGTATAAAAGATTTTTGATATCTTTTCAACTTTTTGAGATATTGAATTTAGTTTGGAGCTTGGTAGAGAGGCCTTTTCCAGATCTTAACATTCGAGTTGATGGAGCAGCTCGTTAACTCTAGAGTGCTTTGATCTCAAAACAGAGTGCAGCAGTGCCTGAAATTCTCCCCCAAAAATGTTTTAAACTTGCCATAATTCCCAAACCCTACACTCCTCAGACATATTTCTTCATGAAAAACGTAGGAAAACCTCTCCTAGCTTGGAAAATTAAAATAAAATAAGAAAAAATATTAAACAAAATGCCTCTTGAGGGCATGAAGAGAGAAAAAGTCCAGCTAGCTCCCAATGGATTCCCATGTTAAATTGTTCTGGATCTTTCTTCAGAGCAGAGAAGTACACTTTAGACAAACTGCTCCCATCTCCACATTTTACACACAAAACCCAAAAAACAAACATATATCAGTTCATTGGGGTTCCCTGATGCTCACGGTCTGCTCATTTTTTGATAAGAGCCATAGTTTTTGAACAGGTGGCAAAATTGTCAGATATAATCCTCAATGCATTCTTATGGGACTCAGTGCTGCAGTTGGTTGTCATGGTGTTGCTGGGCAGATTGGAGCCACACACACGTGAGTCACATCATCCAATCAGAGCAGACACCATGGAAACCTTTGATCTCTGGGGTTACACCATGGATGTATAATAAGAACTGGATACAGCGTGGGAGGCGGGGCCTCATTCATTCCTATGAGAGTTGCTCATTAGCGCATGATGATAAAATGGCCCAACTTTTGAGAGAGCGAAACGTCACAGATTACCCGGCATGCCTGAGAAGTACCCGTATGTGCGCTCATAGCGCATGCGCAACTTTAACCAAAATGCTCGTTCACATCAAGCACGTCAATTTGCGTACACGTAACAGCACCGCACGTTCATGACAGCATGGTAATGATTTGTTATTATGATGGATTTGATATTAACGAGGCGGCAGCTAGCGGCTAGCTAGTAATTATGCTAATGTACACATCAATCGTTATGTACTTATATTACGCTGTAACAGGATCTAGTGATATCCAACAGAGCTTCATTTAGCATGAAAGAATGATTGCACTGTATATATATATATATATATATATATATATATATATATATATATATATATATATATATAATATATAGGCCTACATATATATATATATATACTTATAATAATAAGTAATATTAACTTTATTTAATACAACATTTACGGTACAAGATTTAATCATACAGCCCATGTAGTATGATAATGAATTACAGCAAACATGTGCAATATATCCATTATTAGAGCTCCGTGGGGTGGCAGTAAGACGATATGGGTCCGTTCGTATTGTGCATCCATGGGTAAAGATAAACGCAACTCACATTGGTTTCTCAAACAGCATCTCTCTAAACTACGTGTATTGTAGCCTATTCACTGAATTTCACTCTCTGCCTTTAACGGCTCGTTGTAGCTCCAATAGCTCCAGCCCCCACCATCCCTGTGAGCACAGTGTGCTCTGATTGGTCGGGACACGTAACATGAACGTGCCGGGCGGCGCGGTCCCGTGGGTTAGATGCACGTTCATAATGCAGAGGGAAATAACTCTCAGAATAACGTTATTAGCACATTATTACAACTTGAGGAACGAATGTTTTTAATAAGGGCTATACAAGTGTTCATACTGGGTAGTTTATTTAGTTTAAAAAAAATTATCCAACGATTTACAGACCACTCTTTCCCCATGTAAGTCAATGGGGAAAAGTGTTTCCGGGCCTGGCAACCAAACGGAAGTGTAGTACCGCCGTTTGGCCAGCACGAATATTTTCATCTGAGTCCGGCGCACTTCCTGGGGGCTTGGGTTACACACACAGGTGTTTGTAAACATTCAATCACTACTACTTACATTTAATATCTTTATTTAACTCCTTCAGCCTAATTTCAGCTGCAGGAACCATTCAAATATCAAACTATTCAGCCTTTTCAGCACATGATGGGAAACTTTCAACTTTTTCAAAATATGTTATACTTTTTAAAATATTCAGCTTTTTAAAGTCTTTTTTTAACATGGAAGTTTTTGCAATACATTTGAGCTGTAACAATTAACACACACACACACACACACACACACTCTCCCTCTCTCTCTCTCACACAGACAGACAGACAGACAGACAGACACACAGACACACAGACACACAGACACACACACACCACACACACACCACACACACACACACACACACCCACACACACACACACCCACACACACACTCTCTCTCTCTCTCTCTCTCTCTCAAACACAGGCACACACACACACACACACACACACACACACACACACACACACACACACACACACACACACACACACACACACACACACACACACACACACACACAGACACACTCTTTCAAACACAGACACACACAGCCAGACAGACACACACACTCTCTAACACACACACACTCTCTCTCAAACACAGACACACACACACACACACACACACACACACACACACACACACACACACACACACACACACACACACACACATACACACTCTCTCAAACACCCACACACACACACACACACACACACACCACACACACACACCACACACACACACACTCTCTCTCTCAAACACATACACACACACACACACACACACACACACACACACACACACACACACACTCTCTCTCAAACACAGGCACACACACAAACACACACACACACACACACAGACACACTCTTTCAAACACAGACACACACAGACAGACAGACAGACACACACACTCTCTCTCTCAAACACACACACACACACACACACACACACACACACACACACACACACACACACATAAACACTCTCTCAAACACACACACACACACACACACACACACACACTCTCCTCAAACACAGACACAGACACACACACACACACACACACACAAACACAAACACTCTCTCAAACACAGACACACACACACACACACAGACACACACTCTCACACACAGACACACACTCTCAAACACAGACACACACACAATCTCTCTCACACACACACACACACACACACACACACACACACACACACACACACACACACACACAGACACACACTCTCACACACAGACACACACTCTCAAACACAGACACACACACAATCTCTCTCACACACACACACACACAACACACACACACACACACACACACACAACACACACTCAAACACAGACATCTCTCTCTCTCTCTCTATCTCTCTCTCTCTCTCTCTCTCTCTCTCTCTCTCTCTCTCTCTCTCTAGCCATAGTTTTTGAACGGGTGGCAAAATGGTCAGATATACAACTCAATGCATTCTTATGGGACGCAGTGCTGCAGTTGGTTGTCTTTGATCTCTGGACACACACACAGGTGTTATGAGTAGGTGCTCAGGAACAGAAACAAACACTGACAGACTGGACTTTAACAGACTGTCTCAGCCTATTATTTTCTGTCTGATGGAGACTTCATACTGACTTCAACATGTTCCACATATTTTATACATTATTGGTGACGTATGGTTTTAGTCGAAAAGTTTGCAGTCAAAATATTCTTCTGCTTTCCCAAGCCTTTTTACTTTCTTTTCTCATCTTAATACAAATTAATTCACTACTACTTACATCTGATATTTAACTCCAGCCTACTTTCAGCTGCATAACTCATTCAACTATTACATTATTCAGCTATTTCAGGACATCAAGGCTATACATGTTGTTGTTTATACCTTTTTTAAATCTTTTCTTTTAAATATTCAGCTTTTTCTGCATTTTTTTTAGCTAAAAGCAGCTACCATTCAGCTAATAACATATTCAGCTTTTTCTGCATTTTCAGCTAAATTCAGCCATAAATGTTCACAGTTTACAGCATTCGCACGCATTTTCTGCAAGAAATGCATTTTCTAGTTAACTTAGTTCTCAGTGGGTCTCACGGTTTGGTCACCATTCATGTAAACACATATTTCCATTTGAGGGGGGAGTGATTAGTAAAATATAGATGAATAATAATAAAAAAACGTTAACTAGGTGAACAAATGTAAGATAAACTTTAAAAACTTGTTGAGAGCTAAAACTAGTCTTTGCTGCTGCCTCAAAGAGGAGCAGGGGGGAGAGGAGGGAGTGGGGGGAGACAGGAGAGGCTGATTCAGGAGCACAGACACACTCACAACTATAAATGAACCAAAGACAAATAAATAAACAAGTTTCAATGTTTTTTCATATTGGGTATGTTATTGGTTATGGCCATGTTCTTAGGATTTTATGATTATTTAAATGTATACAGTTCTGTTTCATATAGGTGTAGTCTCTCTCTTTATTTCCCCCTCAAAGTGCACCAGATTGATGCATTTAAGTCCAACATTTAAAAACAAATCTTACCGGGGGAGAATGCCCCCGGACCCCCCTATAGAATTTGAGGTCCACCCCCACTTAAAATATGTTCACATGAATAGGTTCCTAAATAGATTTGCACATTTTTTTAAAATAGTAACCCATCTCCATATTTTTATTTTTTGGTAGTAGATTTAGAGGGCTATCACTACGGGCAGCAACGCTGTAAATATTGACAAATAAATCCAGCAAAATGCCACAAAAAACTGGTAGTGGCCTGGCTGGGTGTATAATTCCCGGCCTGACTTATTGTCCCAGTCCGGCCCTGCCCTGAAGTCACCATATGGTTTGTTTTGGTGCCTCGGGGACGTGTCCGAGCCGACCAATGAGGGAAGAGTATGCCCCCTACGCGTCATGTGACCCCGCCCTGCGTACTCTTCCTTTACATCAGCTCGTCCCTCACACTTTATGCATACATTGACAGAAACGGAGCCTGCTGCAGACTGTTTATCAGACCTCTCCACAGAGCTTCGCATTTTTCCAACGAAAAATAAGGAAAACTACAACCCTCTGTCCTTTATACATTCACAGAGAGAAAATAATTGTTGCGGATAACGGAAATAAATCCCCCTGCGACACCAGCCAGAGGATAACGAGCAGCTTAGTCGCTCAGAGGGGGTCAGAATTTGCGTTTTATTACTAAAAAGCAGTATGAAAACTAAATTTATCAACGGAGTATCTTCTTCCCCCTCCTTGTCTCTGGGTCTGCTGGTGACCGAAAACGCCCTGCAGGTTCAGGGCGACACCGAGGGGGACTGCAAGGCGTTGGTTCAGCTCGAGCTGCCCGACTTGGAGACCCGCCGCAAGGCTTATCTGTGGTGCCGGGAGTTCCTCCATGGAGCCTGGAAGAGCCTTGCCGAGGAACACTTCCACATCACCATCATACGGTACAGTGTGCACGCGCTTGTTTGGTGAAAATAGGCCCATTTGGTTGGAGTGATTACACAGTCTCACCGTTAGAGGCTGAATAATACATTTGTGCAGTGATGTGATCCTTAGCTGCTACACAGGAAACTATGACAATGGAATCCCTTTCAGTATCTAGTTTACGTTTACACATACAAGGAAATGCCTTGGTGTATGGTGGTGCAAACACAAACAACATGGGGAAATAACTTCTAAGAGAAGGTCACAAATATAACTATTTCAAAAAGAAAAAAGCTATTTAACGTTAAAAAAGACAATTATTAACACCAAATATAAATATACAAAATGCAATTTGTATATGACAATCTGCATTATAATATATTTTAGAGTGGAGGGCTGCGCAGATTTAGAAAGAGTTAGGGTATATAGAAATGTGCAATTATATGTTGTTAAATATGTTTGCTTTCTAACTGGAATTGTACCCGTTAATTCATGTCATAGCATAGTTCAAAGTTATTTCTGCCCTAAGCTGGACTTCCCCTTTTTCAAATGGTGTTGGGAAACACTGGGTGGCCAATCATTGTTTCCTTTTTTTTCTTAAGCTGCTGTTTTAAGCATCATAAACGTGTATGTTGTACCATATAACCACTTTATGCTGAGTTTTAATAGGCATTCATTGAACTAGGTAATTGCGATTGTAGTTCTACACGTTTTCTACATCGGACCAGTATGGGCTTAGATTTGTCTCATACATATTTGTGTGAACATAACAAATATTTGTGTGTAAATATGTGATTTGTAAATGTAAAACACCATCCACAAATGCATTTAATACATTTGCAAATGTAAAACGGATCTGCAAATACGCAATTTACAATATTTTCACAGATAAAAAAAAGATCTGTGAATACTATAATTAATTAACAAAAGGAATTTGTGAATATCTCTGTAACATTGACAACTTTCGATCAGGCATTTGTGAATCCCTTTTTGTATTTGTCAACCAAAAATGTGCTTGTGAATCTCAAATCTCTGCTTGTGGATGTCTTTTTACACACACAGAGTTTTCAGACAAACTTTAAACATTTAGCGTATTTGCAGATCCGTTTTACATTTGCAAATTTATTTGTGAGTTTGCAAATCTTTTTAATGCATTTGTGGATGGTGTTTTACATTTACAAATCACATATTATTTTCCACACAAATTATTTTTATGTTCACACCAATATTTACGAGACAAAAATTCGCCGGTCTTTGGGATTTCTTGGGAGTTTTTCTTGTGTGCTGCAGGGGTTTATGGTGTACCAGAGACCCATGGGTAACTTGTGATGTATGGCTATTTAAATACAATTGGATTTATTTATTTTCAAATGTATCCTTTTCTTAAACTGTATGAATCAATCAGAATTAGAATATGCTATTTATCCAGGGGGGAATTGGATTTGGTGAAAGTGGCTCCATTTTAGAATGAAGTAAAAAATTAAATAAAAATCTATAAAGTAGTATAAAAATGAGAAGATATATCTTTCAAACATCCATTGGACGCCTTACCTACCTGCAATGAATAATCATATTCCCGTCTGTCCTGCAGGGGTGGTCTGAGCAACAAGCTCTTCCTATGCAGCCTCCCCGACAGCCAGCTCTCTGTCGGGGATGAGCCGCGGAGCGTCCTGCTGCGCCTCTATGGGGCCATCCTGCAGGTGGGAAACACATCTCTTATCACTGTCTTTGACAAAGCCTGTTGTTTTACTGTGCAAACAAAGAGGTACAAGTAAGCCAAACCCTTCACAATGATGTGTTGTATCTTAGAAACTAGTCTGCTGAGGTATTGTGGAGTTATCAGTCTAAATGTTTACTGCTCTGAATGAGGATGAGTGTTGATACTGCACACAAAAGTAAAATCATACGCTGTTTGTTTTTTAAATTCGTTGTAAGAATGTTTGACTTGACACAGATATGACTCATTAAGGCCCCGGCCACACGAGGACGAAAACGGTCGTTTGCGTTACTGTTTAGTGTCATATAGACCGTTCGGCCACACGAGGACGACCGAATACGGCACTAAACGACTGCGGAAACGATAACGGTCCCAAGGTGGATTGAACGGCATACGCAACGCTCTGGGGGGTCCAACGGCTCCGTGTGTACGATCATTTTCTGATAATGATGAGGCAATAGCCCCGCCTCTCCCCACCTCTGCTGCTCACCCCCGCGTCAAAGTAAACTGCACACTGAATTCAGATTATTTATCTTTCTCTCGATATGGACATAAACGCGAGTGAAGTCTTTCTGACAGGACGGAGACACCTCTCAAACTACCTAAACTAGTAATAAATATGTTTATTTTTACTGTCGGCCGGGTCACTCATTACTGGATCAGCTGCTGCATGAAACAGACACTGACGCTGTCCGAAGAGAGGGAGGAAAAAGAGAGGCTCCGTGTATTTTATTATTATAATATATAGATTCGTTATTCATTTGTTTTAAAGCTCAATAAATAACAAAGAAGACCTTTGACCGGCACTTTTATAATTTTGTCGGAAGATTTAAACTTTAATACACGTTGACTGGCGAAAAACTGCCCGGTTCCCTCGGCCCCCACCGCGGAGAATAAACAGAAGGGCAACCATGACAACCATGCTTCTTCGCTGCTTTTGTGGAGGAAGTTACAGCGCCACGTACAGGCTCCTGCATATGTACTGCAGCTTCTCCAGCGGTTGGAGCTAAACGGAGCTGTCTCGTGTGGACAGACACTATCCGGATAACTATTGCGTGTGGACGGAAGCTTTTTTGCGTTTGTGGTAATCCTATGCGTTTAGCCATTTTCGTCCTCGTGTGGCCGGGGCATTAGTGGGGTCAAAGCTTGAGTTAATAATCAGAGAAAACAAAGATAATACTTAGAACCATGTGATTTGGCAGTGCCACCTCCAGAGGTGTGTGTGTGTGTGTGTGCGTGTGCGTGTGTGTGTGTCAAATGCTTATGTTGGTGTGTGTGCGTGTTAGCCATTGTTGTACATAATGATGTACCCCCATGGCTGTACATGCATGTGTTCTTTGCCGTAGGCTTCCCAAAGGAGCGTGCCTTGGGCACTCTTGTTCCCAATGTGAACCCACCACAAAACACGGTACAGTATGAGATCACTGAAATCTCAGCCTAATACAAAGACGTAACACACACTCATGTAGCACCCCCGTGGCTGACAGTGCCGGGAACACACAGTATGGAGGGAAAACAAAAGGGCTGAAACATCTCTCCTGTCTGTCCTTTTCCTTCTCTAAACCCCTGCCTTGTGATTCAAGAAGTTGTATAAACTACCTAAAACAGGAGCCTGAGGATAATCGGTACATTTGCAGCCTGCTCACCAGAAAATATAAAGAGTGCAGTTTGGCCTGTTGTTCCTTCACAGTTTGCACAGACAGATAGTGTATCTCTTTTTGGAGATGGCGCCTCAGATGATATGTCTGGTGTGTAGTACAGGGTTCAAGATCCCAACATTGCTAAGAGTAACAGAACTACCCCAAAGACTAGTCCCAGTGCATTGATTTCACTTTCAAATATTGAGCGACAAGATTTGAAGAACCTGAAAACTCCTGAAATCAGCTCGTTCTAATCTCCTGCTGGCGTTTCAGTGGGTGTCCTCAGCACATACTGTTTGTTTAAGCCCCGCTGAGATAAATAAAAAAGAGACCAAACAAAGTACTGCTTTCTCAGCCTTAGCTCTATGATAAGCTTCTATGATTAGGTTAAAAGGCTGTGCAATAAAAGTGAACTGCAGCTTTTATTGCTAGGGATGTCCGAGCGAGCTGAAGCACGGTGTCCTTCACCAAGGTAACTGCAGCCATCTCCATCAGGACAGAACCGCCTCTCAACAATTAGTCATGTCTAATCAAAAAGCTAATGGGATTAAGGACTCTTATGACGGTGTGAGAGTGCACAGCTACTAATGATTGAACAAAGCCTAACTGCACTAGAGTCTGCGTTTCTCAGCAATGAAGATATTTTAATAGCATGTTGAATGATTCAACAAATACATATGTGTATGTTTAGCCTCTTTAGCTTTAATCCACTCATCCAACAGCAGGTGTTGAGTCAGGTGGTAGAACGTGGTCTTATCCTCCGCTGATCTCTATCTTGTTGGTCTGTTTAATAAGCAGGTATTCAGAATCGGAATGAATAAAGTGTTCTGGTTGATTCTGATTTAGGGAGGCAGAGATTATTCTGACCAATCCTCTGCACCATCATGTCCTAAAGACTTGATGTGTGTTTGAACTCGTACTGTACTGTCTGCACTGCAGGCCTCTCTAGGTTTGGATGTTGACACTCATGGACAGCTTTACATGTATTCATGGATGGTTCTTTCCTCTTTCTTTTGTTGATAGATGTCCTGTAATAAAGGGGATTCCCGACAGTCAAACAAAGAAAATCTCTTCCAAGTAAGTACCTGTTGATGGTGCCACCATACACTGCTCCTCCGACCAGAGTGTTTGCCATCCTGTCACCACACTCCTCACCTGCCCATGTTCCCCTGATGATGTGTGAAAATGTTTCTTTTTCCTTCCCTAAGTTTTAGTTTTCACTCACGTGAACCTCTTTGTTGGCTGGGCTTTGGGCAGCAGTTTTTTTAGGTTGGATTTGACGCAAGAAGCATATCCTTTACTTCAGTAAAAGTAGAAATACTGTGGTCCAAAAATACTCCATTTAAGTCATGAATTCAAAAATGTTAGTTCAGGGGGAGTATAGAATAATAATGTACTTAAAGTATCAAAAGCATTATGCACAATGGCTCTTTTCAAAGTATTATATCATACAATAATTTTATATTATTCAGTTTGTATTGCTTACAAGTACAAGAACATTTACTGTTGTATTTGGTCAATTGCAGGTACTTTTTAAAATACTGGGTCTATTAGGTGTACAGTACTGGTATCACATCAAAAATGTTATGTTTTATATGTAAGAAGTAGCTAGTAACTATGAGTGTTAAATAAATGTAGTACAAAGTACAATATTTGACTTCAAAATGTAGTGAGGTAAATGTCCTATAGTATCTATAATAGTTACATTCCACCACTACTGAGAAGGTTGAGCCTTTGTATCCATGAGAGGTTTGGAACTTCGAACACGCTAAAGTAACTGATTTCCTTCTGGTTTTTTTGTTATATTGTTGCAATTCTTTTTACATCCTGGCAACATCAATAAACCTGTATTTGTACTGCAATGGATTGAATGAAAATGATTGGATGGCCAACCTAGCAACTCTTAGAGCTAATGCTGCTACAGTAGCAACTTTGAATGGGAAAGAGTTAGCAAATCCAACTTCCTCCTTAATAGGAGACGCTACAGGTGAATAGTGGACACATTTTAACTACTAGATATCATCATGAAATTAACAATAAAAACAGTAAAGCATGTATTCTGACATTTTTTCCTCAAATATGCGACAATGTTTCACTTTCTTGACATTATAGTCAAAGGTTTTTACAAAAATAATTTGGGATATTCCTTTGTATCTCTCTGTGAATCAGAAAATAGTTATACGACATTATTTGTCACCATCTTCAGGATTAAAGGTCCCATGTCATGGCCATTTCTACTGATCATATTTCCATTGTTGAGGTCTACTAGAATATATGTATACTGTGCAATTTTCCAAACTCACATTGGTTTCTCAAACAGCATCTCTGTATAGTCTGTGTATTCACTCTCTGTCCTACACGGCTTGTTGGAGCTCCTGCCCCCCCCTCCCTGTGAGCCCAGTGTGCTCTGATTGGTCGGGATGTTGCGAGGCTCGTTGCTACGAGGAGCGGACTGGCTTCCGGGTCGGCGATACAGCGAGAACAAGCGAAACTCATCCTGAGCACACAAACACTCACAGCCGAAGTAAAAGCAATAAGTGTGGCTTGATATTGAGAAAGAAAGAGGTTTATAACGCTGTGAGAATGGGTCTGCGGAGAGCATTTCTCCGCCATCCCAACTCGTCTATTACCAACCAGGGAGCTCTATGCAAGTCAATGGGACTCCCTGTTAGTTAGCCAAGGGATCCTGGTGTGTGAGGAGCTCCGCGGATTGGTCCATTTGGGCCAATCCGGTCATTTGTTGTTGATCTGGGTGTTCACACGTCACAGAACCCAGGAAGCAAACAATGGAAAAAGAGAAATGTCCAACGAGGCGTTCTGGGGCAGCACAGACATGTCTTCTCTGTGTTAGAGTTTTTCTCGCTACAGAGAGTACTTTGAGGGTTTGTGACTCTGCAGACCGTTTACATACAGAAAAAGCTTCATAACACACAAGGGGACGGGTAATAACCGGAAAAGCATGACATGGGACCTTTAATACTGAGACACAATCAGACTGTAAATGATAATAAGCTAAGCCTACGTAATAACCTTTAGAATATAGATAGGAATTAAACTGGAACGTTTTGTCGGATGTACTTAAAGGATAATTCCAGTTCAAGGTATGAGTAAAAAGATCGTTTTGAGATAACAGCCTTTATTGCTGTGTTTTGAAAAATTCCACACATTATCCCTACAAGACCCACAACAGGTGACGAGGGTAAATGTAACTAATAGATATCCATAAAAGAAGAACTGATAAGCCTCATTTCCCAGTGACCTAGAAATTCCTTCACCGTGTCACGTCATGAGGACCCTTGACCCTTCGACTGCGGCTGAATCACAGCTCCCCGTCATGTGATGAGATGAGGTCATCAGCCTGTTATACTGTTAGCACCGCTGAATCGGAAGCCTGCCTCCCTTCTAATCCAGCCTTCAGTTAGCACAGGGCTAACCCTCTCATCAACCCAAAGATATACAGATAGTTTATACATTTAAATATCAGTGTCACCTGGGTTCATCTCAGTTCAGTCTGTATTTAATAATCTATCCTCAGATGTTTATTGACTTAGAGCATAGAGCAGATAAGTATTGAGGTTAAGGCAGCAGCTGTGGGCAGCACAATGCACCTGCTGTATCACTCCAAGGCCAGATGCTAACTATCTCAGAGACACTGATATGGGACCAGTCTAACAATTCAGATTCAAATGTAATCAAATTTCCAGAGAGGACATACAAAACCCACAGTAAGATCGGTACCTCCAATTAAAATGAAGTTATCAAATATACCTACGTAAGCAGTGCCATGGGGCCATCTGGCACCTCTCCAGGTATTCATTCAAAAAGTGCATTTAGCTTTAGTAGAGGAAGTTTCTGTTTCCTGTCAGAAAACAGGAAATAGTGTGACCGAGGTGCTTTTTAGGGATGTTGAAATTCTTGTCAGTACATGGAGCTTGGCTTGAAATCTAATGTTGATAATTAACTTTTAACCGATGGAAGACCTGTCTGGGAAAGTCCATTCAAATTAAACACAGCAAAAACAAACGTGACATTTAAAATAGGTCAGAGGAAATGAAACAGGTTGCTAGAGGCCAGTCAATGGGTGTTACAGCCTCCAAACAACAAGGGGGAATGGCCTTGTGCATTCAGACATTTGAATGAGGAACTTCTCACTTCTCACTTACTATGTGGTCATACCATAGATAGACTGTGAATGAAGATGGACGACATAATATTAATAATGTAAGTCCACGGAGCATAGACAAAACAAAAAGAACTAGGTCAATGTCAAATCCATTTTTCCCATAGATTGTTTCTGTCTCATCACGATAAAGAATGGCTGAGTGTTTCTAGTGTATAATTTCAGTTTTGATGATTGACTGATGTGGTTATCTCATGTTAACAAGCTTTTGCCTTGCTCTGCTATGCTCAGAGCCTGTGGGCGGGATTTCAATACAGTGGCTCCGCCCCCTGATCAATGCAGTGGCTCCGCCCCCTGATCAATGCTGTCCCGACTCTGGCTCCAAATGACGATAAAGTGCAATACCTACTTTACACACTAATTTCTCAAGTTATTTCCCATGAGAGTCCGGTACTTTTTTCCTTGTTTTGAAGTGTGCTGGTTGAGATCATGAGGAAAATATCTTGTTTTTGAGCATAATTATCACATTGGTAGGTTGTCATTTAAATCTTTAATTAATTAATTATAAATAATTATATTAAACCTGTTTTAAATATCAATGCAGTCTCACAGTAGCTTTGATCATCACTACAAATTCCCAGGCATTGTGTCGTTTATAGCTTTTGTTGTGGCCCATTTGTCTTAATCCCTGAGGCTACATTTACAGGAGCACACTGACTTGTAAAGGCCAACTAAAGCTCTGTAAATACGGGAGCTTTGTCCATAAGCTAGATGCTGCAGATCTGGGTCGCTACAACCACACTAACTGAAAAGATCCTCACTGACTCACAACATATTGTCAGAGAAATTATACACCTGATAAGTCTACGCTCTATTTTACACAGACTGGCAGATGGCTTATTGTCTGGCAGCCTGTCTGTCAAGATGAATATTCAATCGCGCTGGGATCTATACTGAATAAAACATATGCTATTAATAACCTTGGACAGACCATGTTAGAGAATTCCAGTTTGTTCGTCTTAATCACCTCATTGATTTATGGAATATGAACGTGCAGTTGCAGAGAACAAGTCATTGTTATATGCTACTGCTTCCAGCAACTTCTTGAATATTGGGATTTTAGCTTCTTTTTTTGATGAACAAAGAAGAGAAACGAAGAAAGAAGCATCCTTTCCCCGTAGCCTAGGCTTCAGTTAGCACAGAGGCTAATGATGAACCTTGCGTTGACACACATTCTCTAATAATGCGGTGTGATTAAAGTTTCAAATGATGCTAACTACAAGATGTAATCTACAGGGTTGCCAACTTTGGGTACCTGGCTGGAGTGAGATTTTGATATCATGGGTTTGATTACACATATGCGCACTAAATGACTTCTATCGTGTCAGCAGCGGGACCTTAGCATATATATGATATATATATATACAATATATACAAATACACAATATTGGACACAGACTATAAATGGCACAAAGTTTCATTCACCTATGAAAGTAAAACACATGTTTGTTTCCACTGTTTTATTGTGTGCCTGTCGCGATAAGCAATTCATTGACTTATCGTACGATGAATACAAAAAAACTCGATAACTTTTCTGACCTCGATAAATTGCCATTTACATGAGGATGTCACTAGCAGTTTGAAAGGATGTACTTGAATTATTATTATATATTATCAGTATGTCAGTGGTCTAAAATGGTCATACAACGGTGCCGACAATATTATCGTTTATCGCAATAATTTCCGGGAAAATGTATCCAACAAAATTAATTATCGTGAGAGGCCTATACATGAAACACACACACACACACACAAATCTACAGACTTACTCCAAACTGCCAAATATATTAATTAACACACTCACTCTCATATACTCTTTGACTCTATTTTGGCCGAGAAGAACAATAAGCAGCAGACTTTTACTTTTTATCATTTCTACTGGACCTTAGATCTGCGCATGCGCAATACGGGTCGGGGATTGATCAACCGGCTCCCACTGCTCTGCTGTCTGTTAACGTTGTTAAGAGTGGTGGGGGCGGGGAGGGAGCGGATTGACAGCTTGAGCAGCTGTCAACTCAACATTGTAAATAACCAACCAAAAACTATCGCCAGTTCATCTTGTGTTTGGCGTGAGAATAGTTTGGGCAGCGTGAGAGCGTGAGATTGAGAGTGAAAGCGTGTGTCACACGCCAGATGCATGAGAGTTGGCAACCCTGGTAATCTATGCTATTAACCGCCGCTCTGCAGTGCGCTCATACAGCAGTTACGGCCCATCCACACTACAGCTTCGACAGCTTCAAAAACGGTTTCCAACGCGTCTGCCCATTCACTTTGAATGGGGTGACATCACTTTTCGCCGAACTGCATTGTGAGAAGCAGAGCGGAGCTTTCCTGGCATTTCAGGCTGCAAAAGTTGAGCAATGTTCAACTTTTGAAGCTTCTGAAGCTTTCGGTGGAAGCGTCAGCCAATCAAATCATATGCCAGTACAAGCTCTAGCCAATCAAACCGCTGCTTGTGTGTCAGGGGAGGGAGATTCATGTGATTGGTTGTTGGTCGAGCTTCAGACACGCCCAGCTCCAAGCTTTTTTTGAAGCTGTAGTGTGGACGGGCCGTTACTGCCCGTCCACACTATAGCTTTGACAGCTTCAAAAACGGTTTCCAACGCGTCTGCCCATTCACTTTGAATGGGGTGACGTCACTTTTCGCCGAACTGCATTGTGGGAAGCAGAGCGGAGCTTTCCTGGCGTTTCAGGCTGCAAAAGTTGAGTAATGTTCAACTTTTGAAGCTTCTGTGGCAGTGGCACTGATAGCTGCTACTTGGAAAACGAAATAAATAAGAACTCTTCATTTAATTTTGACCTTTTATTCAGAGAGAGGTGTATTTCTAACTTCATCACAACAGAGATCCAGAGTAAGATGTCAGTATTTAGCGTCTCTGTATGGGTTGCAGTACAGTCTTGTTGTAGAAATAATAAGTCATCTTGGAGGCAGGCGGTATTGTTTCCTTTGAGCTGGCTTCCTGCTGGACAATCAGTATGAACCAAATTCCCTGGCAAGGACCCCAGTGATCAGCTCCAAATCTCTCTCTGCAGTAATGTGTCTTAAGGTTATTCACTTAAAAGGGTTGAGATAGCAATATGCTATTCTGGCATCTATTGCAGCCATTAATGCTTACATTTAAATGCAGTAGATTGCAGCATCAGCCAGAAAACCTAAACCCTAAAGAAAAACAGTATGATGGGGCCATGCATACTAAAGCCCCTTCGCATAACCTGAAAGCAACTTGATTAGCATAGTTTGACCCCCCCAATAAATGTTAACTGTAGGCTAATACTTTAGCAGGCTTAGCTATATCAGCAATCATTTGTTTACATGTTTTTGTTATAGAGGAAGAGCTTATATGGAGGCTGTTTTTACAGTTAGACTAAATGAAACTTATCTGTAGAAGGATTTTAAAAGGCCTTTTGTCAAAATATATGGTCAATGAATTCAAATTCAAATGACAGAATGATTTGCTAGCTAAATGCTTGATAGCTTACTAGCTAGTATTCTTCGTTTGAATAGAACTAAAAAGTGATCATTTACTTTGGTATAACACTCCTAAAATGTACTCTAACTTCTCTCAACTTGATCAATGAACCTATTTCTCTCTTCATTTCCCCCAGAAAAGCCGAAATACAACTTCACCTTTGGGAGTTTCAGTTTTCCCACAGTTTAAATCTGTCCTCTGCTAATGGCCTCTTGCCTAGTTGGTGAGAAGCCTGGTTTGCTGTCTTCCCTACACAATGGAGTGGATAAGAATGGGGTCGATGAGAAGCCAGCACACAGCTTTAGTCCTCCAGGCTTCAGAGCATGTGTTTGTGTTGGTATGAGAGAAGGTTTCCCAGTTAACCTTGAGCCCCCGTTGGGCTCCAGGCTATGTGTGTTGGTGTGTGACTTCTGTGTGTCTCTAAGATAAAGGGAGAATCACAAGGCTGCACTCTCTGCTTCAGCTTTTTTTTTAAATGCCTAAGTGGGCCTCCTTGAAGCTTTAAGGAATATTCTGGCAGACACAACTAACCCATCTTTCTCCCCACCACCTTATTTACATTCAATTCTGAATGCAGACTAACCATGTGAAGGGTCATGCACAAAGCTTAATTGACCAAATATACACATTACCTTTTCACGAACCAAGCACTGTGACAAGACAAGTGCTTCATTTGTGACGTAATCCCTTACTCTTTGTTTAGGACATGGTGAACAAAGCTCTTTGTCTAATTTCCATTCCACCACACTGATGGTAGTGTCTCTCACAACTTGAACGTTGCTGATAAGTGTCTTATTGTGTGTTTTCAGGGGGCGGAGGCCATGGTGTTGGAGAGTGTGATGTTTGCTATCTTGGCAGAGAGGGAGCTTGGACCTAAACTATATGGCATTTTCCCTCAGGGCCGGCTGGAGCAGTATGTCCCTGTAAGTCGCCACGTTGTTGTTCATGTACACATAGCTTCATCTCTATATACTGTGGGAACCTTTTGAACAGGGGTGGACAAACACCCATTTGTTCTGGAATAGATTCAATTATTACATTTTGTTGAGGCAATTAGGCATCATTTTGTTTATTCATACGGTGTTGTATGTGTAGGGCCGAACTAAAAAGTATTTAGTGTTTCACTTTCATAATATTCTTGACATGGCTTATTTTTTTTATTTAAAAAAAATGGCTATTGAAAGGCATTACAAAATCCCTACCCATACCCCTTGGTGTTCATCTTTTTTTTATTTAGATGACCTGGCCGTAGTTATATTGCCCATTTATAAATGATCTTCAGTATAAAAACAGGTTGCGGATATGTGTAGGGGTAGGATTTGAGATAGAGAGCTTAGATATGGTTAGGCATGTGGAAGCAAGCGTGGGAATGAATGAAACATGTTTTGCATGTGTGTTGTTTATTGCTCAATGATGCAACAGTAATCGATGTTCAGGGAGAATAAATATTAGTTACATAATTAATTCATCCAATGAAAGAATATCATTTTGACCTTGGTTTACACCATTTAACTTAAAGCAATTTCGTGAAAAAACGCACAATGTCCATGTATGTCAAGACCATGGTCCAGTTTACAGTACAGGTTTGTAAGACTTTAAAATTAAATTCTGCTACATCATGCAAGATTTTATAACATCTATAAACTGAACGTTGCCTAATCATGTTCATCATGGGGGTTGCTACCAGTTCATCATGGGGGTTGCTACCAGTTCTAATATTGCCTCTAAAATGTTTGAGATTTAATCTTGCATAATGCACCACAACAATCCTCATGCACTTTTAAATAAGATTACATTCATATTATCGTGTTGACAGAGTCGTAAACTGGACACCTGTGAGTTAAGCGACCCCAGCATATCAGCAGAAGTTGCAGAGAAGATGGCCAAGTTTCATGTAATGAGAATGCCCTTCAACAAGGAACCCAAGTGGCTGTTTGGAACCATGGACAAGTAAGTCATTTGAGTCTTGTCCCGTCCTGTCCTGCCCCATCTTGTATCCTGTCTTGAGAAATATTTCGATTACCATTTGGTTGCCTATTCTCCAGATGTTCTAGTCTATGGTTTCAAATGAGTGACCAACTGAGCAGATTTGTAACAGCTCCCACATCAGTTACTGGAAGTTTAGATTCATTATGTAGCATATTGCATCGCTGATAATTTATCGACAAGTATAGGGAAACACTTAGCTTATCGTAATGCACATCTCTTTTCATTTACTTTATGTTGACTTGTCTGTAGAAGGTTTGCATTGCAATATATTTGACAGCATGTGGTGATAAAGTCCATTATCCAGATCTACTGGTTTTCAACTGGTTACCTAACAACTTGTTTATCATCACCCGGATTAATTATTCCAAACTTGTTTGCCATGACTGGTTCTGTAAATGTCCTCGTCAGACAACAAAGAGGATGAAAGATTAGACGCATTAGTAGTGTCAGTTCATCCTGATTGGAATTTGTCGGGGCCGAACTCACAATGCATGATTGGACTAAAGCCAAATTCCATACAAAATAAGACTATATTTTGTGACCTTTTCTTTATTTCTAGACCTGTCAGAGATTCTGAACAGAAGCCAAAGCCGACCGATTCCCCAGCAGTCATTTATTTCTATCTGATCATGTGGCATATATACACATATATATATATATATATATATACATACATACATACATACATACATACATCGACACAAATATACATATACAGATACACACAATTGGAGTTAGAAAAAAAAAGACAGTAAATATACAAAAATGAATGGTCAAAAGTTTGATTCTAATCTAGTGGACTAGTACGGTAGTTTCTGAAATGATGTAGCGTTTTCTGAAATGCTGTAGCGTTTTCTGAAATGCTGTAGCGTTTTCTGTGGTGTCTTGCACTTCAGGGCCACCGATTAATTGAAACATATTATAAGCTTTAGATGTGGATATAGATATGATGATTAATTTGTATTATTATTCAAACAAAAGCTACTAGACCTGTAGAAAAGCTAGTGATGTTGTTTTCAAGGTACCGGTAGGCGGCGCGTGAGGCTCAGGTTTGGGAAGGCTGAATAACTTTTTTTACCTGACGCTGCCCGCCTCCGGCGTCTATAGAAAAGAGATCAACTCAGTGAAAGCACCGCCTGCTGACCGATCGGAGCTCAGTGTGCGGAGTTTAAATCTATCAAGTCATATTACATGATAAAGGAAATACAGTTTAAACTGCCGTATGCAGAGAAGACGCCGACGTGTCGCACTTATCATTCATATAATATCATAATATATCACATTTCCTTATCTGAGTCAGCTTCTAGAGCCGTATCTGGCCGTGCAACACTTACAGTGTCACATACTGTATGCAGAAGTATTATTTTAAGCAACACATTAAGTTGACGAAACACTCAACTCAAATGTAATTAAAGTCAGATCCACTCGTGTCTTAGATGGGGCAGTGATATCATAAAACTGTTGTACGCTTTCAAACACTCGGTAGTTATTTTTTAACCAGTTGTTCTGTATTCTCCTTGCAGGTGCAACTCTGTGGCTTGTATCCTGGATTATATGTTTAAATCATGGATGTTTAAAGTTCATATTTGTCTAATATTAGTTTACTTTTCATTAATGAAGTATGATGTTGCGCTGTCAGTACACTTGTCCCTGTTTGTGATTGGTCAAATGTAGCTAACCCCGCCCCTTTCACATGAACGCGCTCTCAGCTGGAGAAAGAAACCCTGGCTTGATTTACCGAGTTGATAACCAGCGTCGTAGGACCGTTTAGCGAGATCTCGTTTGTTAGGGTTAGTTAAGATAACTCAAACATATCCAGGGTATGTTGAACTGGCTTCGTAGTACAGTTTACAGGTGGCTGCATATCAGCGCTAATGTCAAAGACACAAACATTATACATTATATTTTTATTTTACCAGGATGCAGTGACACAAATATTTGGGAAGGCTTAGCCTTCCCTAGCCTACAGTAGCCGCCGCCCCTGCCGGTAACTAAATTAGATAACGGATTATATATTTGTGACTTTTCAATGCATCTGACAAGCCACATATTTTCTTAATCGAGTTTGAATCCGTCCAGGGGCCATTTGCCTCATGTCATCCCCTCTGTCTCCCCATTTCAACTCTGTGTCTACAATAAAGGTTGACCCAAAAAATCTTTCAAGGACAAAACTACAACATGGTTTTATTGAAATTCATGTTAACATTAAGATTTACGTACTCTACTGTCAAAACTTCCTGGCTTCACAGTAATGTCGTTTTTGAGGGCGGAGTAAATGTTAGATTAACACTCTCACCATGCAGGTACCTGAGCCAAGTCATGAGGCTGAACTTCACCAGAGAGTCCCACCTGCGCCGCTACAACCGCCTGCTCAGCTACAACCTGCTGCAGGAGATGGATCTGCTCAAGTAGGCTCACACACACACACACACACACACACACACACTTCCGCTTTTTTAACGCTGATTTGGGTGACTTGTGTTTTCGTTTTGGGGGGAGTCCGTCCGTCCGATGGACAACTTCTCACTTAAAAAAAAAAAAAAAAATCTAGATTGCAAAATAATTAAACAAGCGAGTGCCTGTTTTTCCTGGCCAAGGACAGGTTCATTGAACACAACACGAGCGTAACGTGTCTTCATGTGGTTATGTCGGGTCTGAAAGGAGTGTAGACTAGTATGAGGTGTAATTTGTGCCAATGAACGAACTCACTGAGCTCACTAACTTGTCGATCGTCGCCTACCATGCCGTGAACTATGCCGCGAGAGAAGTAACGTGACACTCTCGTCGCCACCCCTCTCGTCTGAGAAGCTACGTGACGTCTGCGTCTGAAGTTACTTTACTTTGGTAGTTATCACCTAATAACCCAGTAATGTTACAGCTACGCAGTTGCTGCTCAAGCGAGACTCTATTTCAATATAGTTTTGGTATTAAAATAATGTTACACCCCTTGTATGCCCTGAACGCAAAAACAACCACAGACAAGAATATATATTTGTAATTATCAAAATGATAACAAAGGCTGAAAAAACAGGAGAAGCCTGTCTTCCCTTGTTCTCCAGTAGAAAACTGTATATCACCAAGTTTTCATAGTTTTGTGTGTAAAATAGATCGCTGCAGTGAACACGACTTTATGTATTTGTTTATGGTTTATTTGATATGGAGGGATGCAGTATATAGAAGTTCAGAGAAGAAGCAACCCCTATATATTGTTTATTTTATTTTGTTTCATTTTGGCACCATGGCAGAGGCAAATATAGAGTTAATGTGCGGAGATTATAATGTCCCATTTACTAAAATATGTATTGTTTTATGATGTTTAGTTGACAAAATAGTCACTGAGCTACATTTTGCTGCACACAAGCATACATCTGAAGACAAGAGTTGTGTCTGCCTTTGGCCACAAGGGGGAGTATATATATATATATATTGTCATTGGCTGAGATAAGTCCGGCCGTGCGTCACGCCTCCACCGTTCCCGGAAATGCATCCGTGGAGGAGCTGTGGAGGAACCATCAGTGTATCCTCGGTTATAGCTCCTCCAGAGAGCCTCCTCGACGCTCGATGCTCGGTCCTCGGTGTGCATTTAGAGAAATGAGACGTCCTTCAAAATGGCGCGCTGAAATTCATTTCCGGGTCACTACCGGAGGACCGAGGACCGAGGAGTCGAGGAGGGGACATTTGAGTATTGAGAAGCCTCTCTTGAGGGAGGGAGGGACAGCTGATCGCCGTGCAGCAATCAGCTGTTCCCGAGCAGAGAGAGAGAGAGCTGCTAGACACAACTCTTGTTAATCCCCGTACCAGGTACTATACAATGCTAACGGAGGCGAGACGTACGTTATTCACACGCTTATCCACACGTAAGTGCTAATGCACACACACGTCGTTAATGCGCATATGCACACGCACGTTATCAACACGCATATCTAAAGATAGCACTTTCAAAGCTACGCCGCCGACACGTGAGCTCGTACTTTGAGCGCAACTATGATACGTCTCCCTGACGTCTGACAACGTCGTGACGTCGCCTGTATTGTACGTCAACCCATTCAAAATTGATGGAGGCGTTGGCGCACGTTCACACGTTAGCTCTCCGCTCAGTTAGCTTAGATATCTGTTCTTTGGCACAAATCACACCTCATAGACTAGACTGCTGACAGAGAGCACCGGAACGCCGCTCCAGCTCTTCAAATATTGCAGTACCCATAAGGAGCCGTGCACATGCCGCAGTGTTTGCGTGGCTGTGTCTTCAGTTGTAAGCACAGTGGCGATCTGTTGTTATTAGCATCTGGTTAGCTAGCTATGCTAACGAATTTAAAGAGCTTTTCTACAACCAGGTGGAAGAGAGCTCTCTCCTGAGAGGCTCAAATAACCTCAGCTCAGTGAGGTTAAGGCACACCTTGATATGATCATTATTATAGTTATTAATGAGACACTAGACTAAATGAAAAACAGGTATAAAATACTATGCAGTGTTTCCCACAGATTTGAAATATACTTGGGGGGGGGGGGGGGTTGAGGTGATGTGCAACAACATTAGCATTAACCTTTCTGCTGGTCGCTTGTTAGCAGACCCTTCACGCGATGGCAGAGCGAACAGGTACAGGCAGGGCCCATGATAGCCCTATAGTTTAAATCTACTACCCACAAATAAACATATGGACATGGGTTACTATTTTTTTTTTTTAATGGTAAATGTTTTTAGGAACCTATCCATGTGATTTTAAGTGGGGGTGGACCTCAAATCCTCTAGGGGGGTCCGGGGCATGCTCCCCCGGTAAGATTTTTTTTTAAATTAAATGCATCAATCTGGTGCACTTTGAGGGGAAAATAAAGAGACTAGATATATGGGAACACCTATATGAAACGGAACTGTATACATTTAAATAATCATAAAATCATGGCCATAACCAATAACATATCCAATATGAAAAAACACTGACACCCTCAAATAGAAATATGTGTTTACATAAATGGTGACCAAACCGTTTGAGACCCACTGAGAACTTAGACTAAGTTAACTATCTAAACACTCCTTTAGCTCACCTGAGCTGAGGTTATCCCGAGCTTGAATGACACACAGAGACCAATCAAGGGCTTTGATTTATGATCTGTATGACAGCCAGTCACCCTGTGTGAGGCAGACCATATAATGTAGACAGCTAGTCACCCTCTGTGAGGCCGGAGGTTTGGCGGCTGGTCCATGTTAACCAAATTGCCAATAAAAGGGGTCCTTCACTTTAATTTCCATCTGCTTTTTGTATTGGAATTTGTTTTGGGTTGTACCAACGTCCTCTTGTGATGGGGTATTTTCCCAAATTTGGCACAAATGTCTTCTTGGACTGATGTTGAAGTGACTGTGACCTCACAAGGTTCAAGCCACATTCAAGAATTCTGACACCAAACATGACATTTTTAAAGGTATAATAGGGTAAAATAATGAAGTGATAATATTTTGGATAGACTTATGTTTATCTAAAAGTTTAAAACAATATTTAAACTCGGTTGGGTTATACAACCTTGGGGCAATAGTTTCAGTTTCACCTATATGTGCAAATGCTTTAATTAATTGAAAAACTAATATGGAACTTCTTTGGTAATATCCAGGATATTTTGTAGCTTCTTAATGATGTGTTGGGATAATTGCGATCTTTGCCTCTGACCTCCTAACCTCTTTGTGTACGTCCAGGTCTCTGCTGGAGTCCACACACTCTCCTGTCGTGTTCTGCCACAACGACTGTCAAGAAGGTAAAACACACAGACGCCAAGGGGCCCTATCTGCTTTACACATTTAAAATGTGTCATCAAATATTAACATTTTATTGCTGCTTTCAGGAAACGTCCTGCTGCTGAATGGCCGCCAGAGCTCAGACAAACAGAAGCTAATGCTTATTGATTTTGAGTACAGCAGCTACAACTACAGGTAAGATAGCAGCTACTGGAACACAGATTTCTATAAAAAGGTCCTACTTTCAAGTATTGTCTGTTTATCCAAAGCCTGATATCAAGTATTCCTCTCTGCCATTGAGCTCTGTTTTTGTCCGAAAGTGTAGGAACTGAATATCAATTTTATTCAGTCCCAAATACAGACATCTAGTTTTAGTCCTTTTTCTTGGAATGCGTTTAATCTAAAATAAATATTTTTAAAATCTAAAATAAATAACTTTTAAGAAAACATCAAGGTTGTCTTAATCAATGTATCTGATTTTGAAGCTTAATTGTTCTTTTGTTGGCTAAACAGACCTCCCAGTGACATTCTGTATCACTAAGATTTATTTTATATGTGAGCCAATGCTTGAATCTTGCAATCATTGTCAAACCCAACCATGTGACATAATGTTTGTTTGGCAGTTTGGAAGATACTGGTGTATGGGGGTTATTCCCTATCTTTATTCAAGAGCGTGGTATTTAAATTTGAGAGCATACTTTATGTATTTATTTCCCTCAAACCCTGTCCTCACACTCCAATAGTGCCTGCTTGCACTTAGATGTGCTCTGCTTGTGCTCAAACTGTACGCTTGCACTCAGATATATTGCTGTTTACAGATTTGTTCTGCTCTCAGATTTATTCTGTGCGCGCTCGAAACTTTTGTGCAACAATCCTGTCAAAATCCCTCAACCAATAGGAGGCCAGGTGTCCTTGCGGGTGCGTTCGCTTTACTTATTACAGCGTCCCGTAAGGACGGTTACTCTTTGGTTTATAAACTCCCGCCCTCCACGGCTTTATAACATAGCATGTACTTCACTTGTTTGATTTACAACTTTTTTTGGGGCGGGGGGAGCACAGTTAGTATATATATACCAGCACCTTATTATTTGAATGTGAGGACAGGGTTTGAGGGAAATAAATACATAAAGTATGCTCTCAAATTTAAATACCACGCTCTTGAATAAAGATAGGGAATAACCCCCATACGGGTGTGGCAGGTAAAATTCCCTGAACACACCCGCTAAGCCTGTACTTGTAGTTGGAAAGGTGCCATTTGGCATATTTTCTGAGATCTCACGCCAGAGTGTTCGATGCTGTTTCCCATACAATCAGGACTGCCCCTGCCCAACTTGTGGCCCCACGCAAAGTTATGTGATAAGGCCCTCTGTGTCGCGAGCGTCGACAGAATTGCGGCGCAGTTGCGCATAAGCTGAAGTGCGCCGCATTTGTGATTCAGATGAGGCTCTCTCCGCAGTCTGCGTGATCTGCGTGTAGGGAGGGGTGGGCCTGCATACAATGACTCCTTTAATTCACATACCAAAACACAACCGCTCTCACACAAAGGGGCAGAGTTTAAATTTGACTCCGTTAAGTGTGATTATTAAACCATGATTATATTAAAATTCTCCATTTGCTTCTACCATGTGTACTAGGATGAAAATGTATTTAAGAAGAAGTATTTGAGAGTAAGTGTTTTTGCACACTTTGTCAATGAAATACATCTATAAATATACATTTATGAAAGAGTTCAAAGTGGCCCTTTTGGGGGGTTTATCCCTTCAGTGTATTCTATAGGTTTTGTGAATGTAAATGGCCTGCAAAGGCTAGAATCCCTATGTTCCCTCCAGAGGGAGTTACCCTCCCCCCCTGCCTGTAACGCCTCCATTGGACTTCTTTGTTTACTTCAGTAACATAGTGACTATGTAATATTTGCGTTTCTATCGTCTAGCTCTCCAACACAATGTATGTGAAAGGCTAAGGGGCAGGACATCTCTAAGGGTCGGCCAGCTAACCAATCAGAGCAGACTGGGCTCTGGTTTCAGACAGAGGGTGAAAAGAGGTGCTGCAGCATGAGAAAAATAAAGAGCTTTTTGAACATTAAAGCATGGAGACAGATCAAAGTAGATAGCGCAATATGTTCTCATCAAATGTATTAACCACCGCAGCCTGAGGCACTGCTAATTAATTCTCCTTCCACTGCTGCGTCACTTCTTTTCATCCTCATGCCAGATCTTTGCCTCCCGACTAACCTTGGCTTTGCAATCGAGAGATATGTGCAAGGAGTGTGATAGTCGCAGAATGTGGAAGAGGCAGTGAGAGACAAATTGAGATAGAGTAACCCAGATGTTAAGGTAGAAAGGAAGCATAATCTGAAGGAAAACAAAAGGGGAAGAATGCAGCCTCGCTTTGTATCTGTCTTCCATCATGGCCACCTCCCTCTGTTATATTATTCACTGCAGCTGTTATGTAATAGGAATTTGGCAGGGCAATGAGGACACACAGGAGGCAAGGAAAGGCTGTCAGTGTAACAAATGGTAATGATAGTGCTCTGGATTTCCTCTACAGTCTGGTACAAAGGACTAGGTTAGGATGAAATAGAATATTGGGACTGTAGATTTGTCAGCACCTTGGTTTAACTGCGGTTGAGTCTGGTTATGTGATTTTTTAAATGAGTCATTTGATGGGAAACAGCGCAGAACGCGCTGGCCTTGACTTACGGTTCTTCTCAGACAAAAGTCTCTCTCTCTGTCCCCACACTGAGGCAGAAACACCCCCACCCCCCTGCAGCTCCCTCAGCGTGGCCCCTTTAAGTCTCCTCATATGTTGCGGCTAACACGTGATTCTCTTTGCACAAGTGACCCACCAAGCACGTGTACCATATAGCTGCAGGAAGAACACGCCCACAAATAGAAACACTTACTGTGGAATTTTTTCTCTTTGTCTCACATGAGCCCAGTTTATTGACTGCTAATAACTGTGTGGGAATCAACATGCTAAAGTGGTGCTTTAGAGCATTAACACACACACCTACGGCCCATTTGTTCCAGTCTAAATCACAGATCAAGTTTCATTCTCAAATAGGTGCTTACATTGTAAAATAAACAGCCTTTTAATTGAGTATGGATTTGTCATGTCTGCTGCTGTATGATTCCCATCAGACACTAGCAATGGCCTGTATGGTACAAGGTCCAACACTCTCGTCTAGACCTGGGGGTTTCAAAGTCTCCCCTTCTTCATCTAGATAACTACAGCTCCTCAATACTCCCCACCTCATGTTGTACCAATACATTTCCTATAGAGTGGTGCAGTGATGGCCTATTTTTGTAGACTGACCCTGAAGCAACATCTTTTTGGGTTATAAGCAACATATTTATTCTATGACTCTAAGTACATAAATACATACGTCATTAATCAAACATTTGATTGAATTACACATGGCACTAGGAAAAAAGTACAATTTTGTTCTTCTCAATTATTGAACAGAAGTATTCATGAATGTAAAGACATCATCAGCATAACTGTTTCTCTCCATGTGTTAACCTTGCAGGGGATTTGATATTGGCAATCATTTCTGTGAATGGATGTACGACTACAACTGTGAGGAGTTTCCTTTCTTCAAAGTCAATGCTCAGGCCTACCCTTCAAAGGCCCAGCAGGTGTGTATGATGTGTTTTCACAACAATGTATTGGTCATTTGGCTTATTGTCTACTGTTGACTGATGGCGACAATTTACCTCTCTGTTCAGCTGATCTTCATTGAAAGCTACCTGTGTGAGTCTGACCAAGGTTTTGACAACCTGAGTGAAGAGGACCAAATGAGGCTGATGGAGGATCTGTATGTGGAGGTCAACAGGTGGGCTCTCTTGCATGACAGTGGGAACTGACAAGAGATGACAGTAAAACACATTACAATAAAGACCATGTATTTTTAAATAGGTTCTCCCTGGCGTCCCACTTTTTCTGGGGTTTGTGGTCCATCATCCAGGCCCGGCTATCCACCATCAAGTTTGGATACCTGGTGAGTAAACATTGTTTGTGTTTTTCTACTTTAAATGGTGATGTAGATAGTAAACAAGTATATACTTCCCTAAGTAAGCTGTGTTGGTTCAGGAAGATACACAGTCCTGGAGGGTGAGGCAGTGTCAATATTTACTGTAAAGAACAGGTCAGGTCATGTCAGCCTGTCACAGACACAGAGAAAGGTCGACTTTGTCACAACTATTAGGTTGACCCAATCCTGTGAAATAATCAGAGGTGGGAGTAAGTCCTACATGTGCAAGTCATGAGCAAGTCTCAAGTCTTGACCTACAAGTATCAAGCAAGTCCCAAGTCACTGTGGTGAGAGTCAAGCAAGTCAAGTCATGTCATACAACATTCTGATGAATAATCCTAGTTTCCGCATTTAAATCAGTGGTTATGAAAATGGATTCAACCCACACTATGATCTTCATTACATACACAGTTAATCATTGAAATCTAATTTAGACCGATGACAATCATATTAGATTCATATTAACCCTAGAACTGCAGAGAATAGAGCTAGGACTCAAAAAGTCTGTTCAAAAAGGCAAATGCCATATACGATTTTCTTACCTGGAATTTGCCATTACACATATTTAATTTACATGTCTGTTAACACTAGAACCGCCAACAACGTCAGCACCTACATTATTTTCAAATCATTTCATTTGTTCCTCTTCATCATTTCCTTATAAACTGAGTAGGACGATTTAAAACTCACTTAATTGGGTTCATTTAGAAATTGCTTCAGTTTATCATCATAACAGATCAAAAAGTTCAGATTCATTTTACAATAAATCAAGGAATGATGCACTTCTACAAACAAAAACAACATCATTAAAACATTTAAACAAACTACAAAAAGTAAATGAACTACATTATTCAACAGTTTACAGTAACTTCTGATAATAACACAGGGGAGATAAACGAGGCATCTCTTCTCCTCTCTCCCTCTCTCCTGACAGCCCGTCAGTATCAGGGTTAGTCAAAATGAATCCCTTGGAGGTTCTAGTGTTCATTTACCGTTTTGTCTTCTCTTTGCTTAATCGATTTGAAACCAAGTCTAACGTAGCTTAAACTTAACGTTAGCTTTCTAGCTAACACAACACATGCACGCACCTTTCTCTGTGTTTTCTTTTGTAGTGACGAATGAAGTTGGATGTTGTGGTGGTCGTGTCACTGATCTTTATGCTGCAGACCCTGCATACCGCTGTTCTCTTCTTATTACCGTCATCGACAAAATAATCCTTGAATCCAAACTTCACTATTTTTGGAGTAATGCTAGCCGCTGCCATGTTAACAGAGGGCCCTTCTCACTTCTCTTATTTTTCATTTCCTCGCTCCTCGGTCTCGGTCTCACCGGAAGTTGATTTGTCTGTGCCATCTTGAGTAGCGTCCCAATGGCCTTATTTTTGCCGGAGGATCGAGGAGCGATAATGGAGGAGCTATAATCGAGGAACCACCAGTCCATCCTCCGATGAAATCCTCAGACACTCGCCCCGCCCCCCTTACTGTGTATCGCTCACTGATTGGACGATGCAGCGCATGCACTGATCTGATGCTTCTTGACATGAGAGCAGTTTCCCAGCAGAGTGAAGAAAATACATGAACCTCACGGGAGTCACTCCTCAGTTTATACTGTGTTTTGTTTCAATTCATGTTTCATTTAGTTACAAATATGTGATATATCTGAACAACAAAGTGGTCAAAAATCATTTTATTCATTTTTTGGAAACATTTTCATGATCACTTTTTTCGTTTTACATTTTCATTTATTGTCATTTCCATTCAGTCAGTCATTAAGTGCTATTAAAATGTTAATGTGCTACATATCCACACAAACACACAAAGTGTGCAATCCAATGAATGTTAATCTAACTGGGTTTTGATAGATAACATATCTCTTTTTCTTCTCTCAATTATTTTATTTCTATTGTGCACTCTAATCAATATTAATCAAACTATTGTTCGTTTATACATTTTAAGAATGGCGTTCTTATTTTATTTTTATTTATTTGGGTCTACAACAGATGATACAAATGTTTGTGTCAGTAAATGTGTACTAACCATAGACTGTATATATAAAGGTACTAACAGAGGCGGGGGGGTGTGTGGAAATAACGGGGACAGAGCTGCTGTCAGACGATCAACGTCGCTTCACGTGACGCTCCGGAGGAAAGGACGTCCCATTGCTCTTAAAACTCATTTCCCTGCTTCTCGTGGTTTCCTTGCGTCTCTCCATGCTTCCCTGGTGGGAGGGACTAGACGCAGGGAAACGACGCAAGTGAGGGACGCAAGGAATCCATTTAACCGAAGTGAGAAGGACCCTGAGACTCCTGCCTTCTAGTGGGTTGCCAGGTTTGCGCGCATGGCGCGATAATCACGTTTTTCGAAAAAACTAAACGTAATATCTCACTTCAAAACGCAAATATTTAATTTTAAACAGTCAAGTCCTTTCAAGTCATCTGTCTCAAGCTTAAGTCAAGTCTCAATTCATGAATACCAAGTCTAAGTCAAGTCTTTTATCAATGTATTTTACGAAGCAAGTAGGCTTGTTTGAGACGCGTTGCGGCTCGCCTCGAAAGTAGACGAGAATAGCCGATCGCAGCCGGGGGAGGTCTCAAAAAGCTTGCCTGAAGTCGGACAGCTCGGAGTCGGTTTCGTCTTCTTCTTCTCTCGGTTTTTTGGCGGATTGCAAACAGCTTGAAGGTGCATACTGCTGCCTCCGGAGTCGGCTTGACTCGGTTTGCATTTATAAAGAATGCACACATGTGTTTAATCGTTAATGTCAGATATGTACTAAGTAAATACATTTGTTCCTGCTCAAGATTAGATTCAACTTTATTGTTATTGCACAGATTACAGGTACTGAGACAACGAAATGCAGTTTAGCTTCTAACCAGGTGCAACAAGCAGTAAAGTGAAAAGTAATGTACACAATCTACAGAATAAAATATAGAATGAATTGAATGATGAATAAACAGTGAGGGGTATGAATACACTAGATATACACAGCAGCCTGTGAGCAGTATGAACAGTGTGTATGAATGTGCTAAGATATATAGTATGAAAACGGTAAGCAGTGCAAGTATAGTATAAAATATATGGATATTAATTTCATGATGATAAACATTGTGGAACAATGATGAAAAATGTGAATGGAAGTGGCGACGTAAAACTGACACAAAACAACAACAAACTTTTGCCGAGCCAATTGGAGAGTTTCATCAGCAGCACGTGGAAAAAACCACCAATGAGCGCTCAGCTCGAGATACCAGCGAGTCTTTTCCCATCAAGCATTTCGCTTCCGCAGCCCGTGGAGAGGAACTGCGCCGCCTCGCCGCGCCTCGCTCTCAAGGCTGCGGGCGTCTTTGTCCCGCGAGATTTCAACGTCTCATGTAGGCGGGCCTCCAGAGCAAGTCGGACAAAATGATTAACCATCATGGAACGCACGAGCAAGACGTTGATCGAAATTGCGCAGGTCTCGCTTGTCTCAAACAAGCCTAGTCTCAAGTCAAAAAAATATGCGAGTCAAGTCATGTGACTCGAGTCCCCACCTCTGGAAATAATCAGTGTTGGGCAAGTTACAAAATGTAATATATTACATATTACTTATTACTGTCTTTTGAAAGTAATAAGTTACATTACAATATTACTGTCTCTGAAATGTAATGAGTTACACTACTTTTAAGTTACTTTTTTAGTTACTTTCACCAAAATAACCGCAAAAGAATGGCTAGGTATTTTAAATGCTAAAATGTAGTTTAGTGCAGCTCATTATACATCCAGTGAAGGGCGATGTGGTATAGCATAACAACTGTGTAGGCCCTTAAGGCTACTAACAACTTGTATTACACGGCTTAGTTGAATACTCGATTCTGATTGTAAATTCTTAACATGTGACACGTTGTTAATACAGCAGTACAGACCACTGTCAAGGACTATAATGAAGGTTGCTAAGGAGGATAAAGAAAGAGAAAGGAAAAGAGGTTAAAAGACGGAGCGCTGGACGTCAGATAAATCACCAGAAGAAGGCAGACAGGAAGTAAACACTAACAGGACACGGAATGGGCTCTGTAGTGTGTTTAGTATATGGCCGTGTACAGGCCCGGTTCCAGAACAAAATTACTCAGGGTGCCTCTGAGATTACAGGGGGCCCAGCAGTAGCAGGTTTACATGAGCAATAGTGGCCGGCAACAGCAATGAAAAATAGCATTGATGGTCCCCAATGAACAGATTATGGCATTTGCTATGTTTTGAAACCAAGCAAGTGAGAACATTTCAAGTGAGTTAAAAGTGCAATCCTGAAATATGTCATATAGTCCAAAGTGGACTGTGGCAAAGAAAAGCACAAAAGCTTCAAAGCTGTACTGATACAACAAATGAGAACATATTGTAAATCAAGGCAAATATGATTTGAACCAGCTCATGGTTTGAAATGGCAAACATTGAAAAGCAAAAGTATTATTAAAACCATGTACTAAATCATCTCTTTGGTCCCATCATATACTCTGGGAAGAGAATATTTACTGTGCTTGAAAACTGGATCACATCATCATGTGAGGTTGACTTTGTGACCTGGAGAACATTTCAGCTGCAACATTAGCTCGTTGATAAGCTTGGGATATGAGCAGAGTTGGGAGTAACGCGTTACACATTTTTCATCATTGTTACACAGTAACGCGTTACTGTAATAATATTACTTTTGTCGGTAACGGAGTAGTGTAACGCGCTACTTTTATAATTCAGTAATCACACTACAGTTACTAACATTGCCCCGACACGCGTTACTTCGTTACTTACCTTTAATCAGTCATAATCAAACCTCAACAAACACCTGCAAAGAACACATGCTAAGGTGAAGCTAACACACAGCTATTTGTTGTTTGTTTATATCACGTAGTCTGTTCTTCTTTTCTGTCTTCCGGTTGTTTCCTGTTTTGAATGACGAATACACACTACCGCCGCCTGCTGGTAAGGAAAGTTATTGCCACTCACGCATGCGCAGTTCGTACGTGCTCGGCTGAAGTCTTTGCGGTGTGCTCCAGTCTGGTTCCAGTGCAACACATGGCCAACACGCAGGAGAACACGCCGACGCAACAGCGTGAGCAGAGATAGACTGCGCAAAATCTACAGATAGCAGGAGACAGAGGACAGCCACGGTCAGATCGGAAAACATTCAGGATCTATCTGGATCAGTCTTATGCGACAATGGAAACTGAACTAAAGAGAACATTTGAAACTTTAGCAGTCTGCGTGATCTGCCTGCAGGGAGGGGCGGGCCGGCCCTGCGAGTAAAGTAACGAGTTACTTTATGTAGAGAGTAACGAAGTAGTGTAATATATTACTTTTTTTTAGTAACGACCCCATCTCTGGATATGAGATATTTTTGTAGCCATTCGTGGTGAAGGCATCTGTGCTATTGTATGCATTATGTGTGACCAAACATTTCTACAAGCATGGCAGAATATGGCACTATTTTCACATGAATATTCTAGCCATTGTCTATTTTTATACCATGAGCTGCAAAATGACCGCCTTACCCCACTGTACAGACGGGTACTTGTTTAGATATACCTGGGCAGGCTCTGTTTTGCCGTGGTATCCTGGCACCTGCGGGCTGCAGAGGGGCGGCGTAGTTTAGGCGACGAAGACTGCTGCTCCGGGGGCGAGGGCGGCGAGTCAGCCGGGAGTAAGCTCGTGTCCACAACGGAGGGTAACGTGATGTCCCCATCTGGCCTGTTGCTACTGTCTGCAGTAGATGCAGTGTTGCTGGCGTTTAGTGATGGTTGCTTTAACCATTTTCGTATAAATGATTATCCACAGATGTGTGTCACTGCTGTGGAAGCACTTTGGAAATGATGCACGCGCAGCGGAGCAGGTCACGCGCACCTGACACAGTTTGAATTTTTTGCTCCGTTCTCTTTTTTGAATAGAGGGTGCATAACATTCAACTGCCCCGAAGATCCTGACGCGAAGCATGAAGGGTAAACACCAGGTTTACTAATCTACCCGCACAATTTGCCTCTGGTGTCGGAATCTCTCGCTATGTTAGTACATTCAACAAAACACCATTTCATTTCGGGTTAAAATGTGTTGTAACTGCGTTACTGAGCATTGTAACGGGTAATATATTACCCAAATTGCATTAGTAATGCGTTACATTACTTCGTTACAGCAAAAAGTAATACATGACTGTAACTCTGTTACTTTTGTAACGCGTTACACCCAACACTGGAAATAATACAAATAATGTAATTAGGTAGGGATCCCTCTCCAAGCATGTGCAATAGATGTTGTGTGTACAGAATAAACCTGTTAACAAAATTAAAACACAGGCAATCTATGTGACAAAAATGACAATGTGAATAAATATGATGCAAATTGGATCCTAGAGCATGTTAATCATCTTCCAGGTGTAAAAAACAATAGTAGAATTAATAATACCAAAACGCAAGTAGTAATAAAAACAATATTAATACAACTCCTATAACTCTTAGAATATGACAAATAGAAGTAGCCGAGGGCAGTTAACAATATGCATCCATGGGACATATTTTCGCGGGCCGGCCTTCAACTTGTGGGGGGAAATCAGTCAGAAGTCGCAACGGCTCATTTCTAAATAAACGTGGATTTGATAAAAAAATAGTTTTTCGGGGTTCGGGTGTTTTGTTTGATTTTAATTAAACAAAGTCTTGGCTTTCAGAATATGAAACTTTTATTTCCGAAATCACACGATAAATACATTTTTGAAGCTAGTAAAGGGACGAAGACAGGCACCTCTCACTCGCAATCTGCTCTTCCGCAGCGCCTCCCTCCGCTGAAATTATGAATGTAAGGCGTATAGTAATCATAGATAACACGGCAGGGTCCGTTACAGTTTGTTTTCATCTGATTTCAAATAAACAAAGTCTTGGCTTTCAGAATATTAAACTTGTTTCGGCAAATTCAGATGATAAATACAACTTTGAAGCTTGTAACGGCATAATTACAAGCGGAGAACGGAGTAACTTGACGTCACAGCAGGCATAACAACAGCCGGTGTTTCTCGTGAGTGTTTTCCCCGGGAAACAAACACAATACACACAAACGCAAAAATATACACCCACACACACACGGACCAGACCGGTGGTTGGGGACCACTGACTTAGAGGATTCATACTTAACATGTTCAAACTCGCCGAATATTAAGCCCTAAACCACTTTAGCCTTGTTCCTTGTATGCAAATAAGTGTAAATAAATGTGAAACATTCTAGCACATGTGAAAACTTCCCCTTACCAATGTGTTTTGTTTAGTTATATGCACATATAGATGTGTCACATTAAAACTTAAAGTCCTTCAATTACTCAAAGGCCAAAATAAGTGCATCACTTAATGCCTAGGCTTTAATTGTGAAATATCCCAAGGAAATGTTTAATTGATGATAACTTAACAGAAGAAGTTGTCCAAGAAGTAGTATTTTAGTAATTAGTAAAAACATTATTTCGCATTTTCTTTATTCTGTTAAAGAAAGAAACAGAACTGAATGGAGAGTATTATAGGACTCTGCTATACTGATTTTGGTAATGTTGTATAATTCTGAATCTTTCTTTTAGTTATAAGATTCCAAGTAAAGGCAGTTGTGTGCAGATATGAATAACATCATCGATATTTGACTGTGTTGCAGGATTATGCCCTGGCCAGATTTGATGCCTACTTCCAGCAGAAGAAGATATGGGCTAACGGAGCAAAATAAATAGATGGACTGACATCCCATTCAGCCAAACAGCAGGTGGAGCACATGCAGGCTGATGGAGACTTCACCATCCGCGCTTCACTTATATTCCATGCCTCGACAGAGTTGCTGGCTGGCTGACTGGCCGCTGTTGGTGTTGTATTGACCAAAGCCAAAACTTGATCACGTGGCTAAGTGCTTAAGGTACGCCCCAAAATCTATTGCAGCTCAAAGTTTACACTGTGTAACTCCCTGAGAGCCAAAAAAACCACTGACTACTTACCTTCATCCCTTGTCAGAACTGCTGTCTGCTTCTGCCTTTTTTCGAACCATTTTACTAACACAAGGGTTTTGAGCAAGAGAGAGGTGGGAACAGCTAGATTTGAAATATTAACATTGCATCAATGTAAATGTATTGATCATTCCCTTATGGAAATGTTCTGCTGGGAATAACCAAAATGTGAACTTTGCTTGGTAGATTCCTGCTTACTATAGCCGCCAGTTGCCAACTATGTATATTATATATAGACCCCCAATGTGCCAGTAATCTGGCCTTGTCTGTTACTGATGGTGAAATCATGACTTGATTTACAGGTCAGGTTGAATCTACACTTATAGGTATTACACTTGCTGTTTATTTGATTTTATTTGTTTAAATGGTTGCATAATAAATGTTATTCAGGCCAGGGCAAATATCGGATGTGAATATTTGAGTTCCCTTTACTGGGTAGCTTCTTAACTCCACCAAATCAAAAAAATCAAAAACATGAATTTCAGGTATTTCCAATAAATTAGATCTGTTTATCTTTGGATTCCTAAAGAGTTCAAATGTATGGTATTTTTATAAATCATTGTGAAGTAGATTCATATCTTCATGTAGTTTACACATTAACATTTGCATTGTCTGCTTAGGCGAAGACATTCCAGCCATGCTTTATAAGCTTTGGAAAGTGTTGCTTAACACTAGGGAGCTAACTGACCATATATTTGTTTTTTTACTTTTATATATTATCCATGATTTCAAGAAAACATCACACAGTTCACATATGAATGGTATCTTTTTGTGTTAATTGATTCTTTAGGGATGTCATGGGTCATTGTACCCAGACGTGCCCATCCAGAATAATGACACAAACGCTCAAATCATAACACAGCTGACCAGCTCGATTCTACGTCACCGCACCGAGTCATTATTTGTGCTCCAACTATGCTATTGTTCACAGATTGACAGATTCATCAAATGATGCTAACAGCCTTCTTTTGGCATTTAACCACACATACATATCTTGAATTTCAGTTTCTGGACACCATCTAATTTTTGTGATTATTTCTTTTGTCCTGATCAGTATTCCTCTTTCCACCCAAATTAGGGTCATTAAAAGCGAGCCTGTTTGCTCACCATTTCAGTAACAGTGCTTTTAAGACCTAATTCATGAATGCTATATGTGACAGTAAAGCTTTTCATGCTAAAACATATGATCTAGCATACAGTATAACATGTGGAAGGTGCAGGATCTGGTTTAAAAAAAAGAACAAAATTAGCCTATCGCTCAACAACCCTTTTAGCAAATGTAGCTGATGCTCAAGCTTTCTTTTCATCTAAAATCCAAACAGTAGATTAAACACTAACATTTGTTTTAATTTTAGAATTGATGGTTCTCTAAAGTTGTAGAATGAAGCACTTATTAGCCAGGGTCCATCGATTCTGATTACATTAATGACAACTGATGCGAGCCGATTTGGCTAGCTAGCTAATTTGGCTAAGGATTTTTTGGAAATGCTATTTACGGCTAACTTGTTTTAGTACAATAACCCCTGTAAAAAGGGGTTCTAATAATGTACTTGAAAGCTACACACCTCCTAATGATGCATGTATAAAAATAAAAAAGCAGCAATATAAGAGAAAATACCCTTATGACTTTCCTAAAGTTAGCCTACATTTAGCATCCAAGACTAGCTTCCACCCAGTGAGCAGATAGCCCATGATCCATTGATTGATTGATTGAAAAGTTTATTAACAGCTTGTATATTGGGTACAGTACAGTACAGCTCAAAACATATCCATATGCTAGTTATAAACATCCATCCATCTTCTCCCGCTTATCCGTGGTCGGGTCGCGGGGGTGGCAGTTATAAACATGACATAACATAATTCTCCAAACTCCGTAAGCTGATTATAACTCTTACAACAACAGTTGCTAAGCCATGGTTGAACATTCACTGTTTGGGGTTTAGCATCGTCTCGTAACACTGAAGTAGATAGCCTACTTGTTGCTGCAAATTATATGATACACAGACAAAAAGTTCTATAACCACCATAAAGGCTGACTCGTAGCATCATATATACATCAGGGTATCTCTGTCTAGCTGTGAGCACTAAGACATTGTATGGAAGCCACACAATGACTCTGGTGTAGTGTACAGTAGTAATTGGCTCACCTCTTGTTAGAATGACTACTGTAACAGAGCTGAGGGAAGTGAGCTGGATCATGAAACTTAACAAGACACTACTCTAGTCACCTCAAAGTGGAACAATCCAGAGGTGTTTGAATGTCGACTAAGGCACTTTTGATTTTAGGACCGGAAATATCTATATAAAAAATAACAATATGTACTTGAGTGTTTTCATGTGAGGGTTATCGAATTGTGAATGTTGTTGAGAAGGGTTTATTTTACTTGCAAATGTATTTGTATGTGTATTTTTATTGTTATATTTTGTTTTCAATGTGTTTCATGTTTAGTTTGGAATTTTTATTGATATTCAATGGGATTAGGGATATTCTAGCAGCTGAATGTGCAGTGGAAGATACTGGAAGTGTTACTGCTACATCCCTTCTGTAGCAATAGACTATTTGAACATAATTGCATTGCTAGGCAACAGCTTGGGTCCATGACTACTACCTGTCAGATGAAATCTCCAAATACCCTGCGACAGGAAATTAATTGGGATACATTTAGAATGTTATGTTTACAACTAAAATGTTTCAAAACCATCTTGTTTTTGTTGTCCTTTACCATTATTTTATATATTTGTTATGGTAGAAATGCAATCTGTAACTATTAGTACATTCCATAATTATTGCTTCACCTTCAGTATTGTGTACACTCTACCAAAATAACAAAACTTTTAATGTTTTATTTTTCAATCAAATTCTAATTGGTCATCAGTAGAAAACAAACATTGTCTCTTCTGTATAGTTACATGAAATTGACTAACACAAAATATCGATAGTCATGCTAAAAATATCCAAAATATAAGGACAAATGTGTTACATTATCATTCCTATCAACATGTTAATGTAATACACCTCATTTTTGTTTAAAACACATTATGTTCTGTGACAGCACCCACAATTATCATGTGACCCACAGTGGTAACCTTTTGCTATCTGAATGAATATGTAATCAGATGATGGACTATCATTTGTAAAAAAAAAAAAAAGGTTTCGTGTGACCTGCTGCAGCATTGAAATGATCTTGGCTGTAAATGACATTTTCTGCTTTGCACAAACAATGATTAAAGTGAAAACAACTGACAAACTGACTCATGAGTGTTATTTCTATACTCTATACTTCTGCTATTTTAAACTGTAGTATGTGCTCATGTGTTTCATTGTTGGTGTAGCCTACTGCCTTAATAAACGATACGATAATACTTTAAAGGGCCATTTCTACTGATCATAATTCCATTGTTTTCTGTTCTCTGATTATATAACATGTAATCCGTTATCCCCCTGCCTGGTTGTGGGTCAGCCTGTTGGACCACCTTCTCAATGCACACTTTGAAATGTAAAGCCACTCCTTCTTTGTCCTTGAGCAGTGGCTCAAGTTACTGCAGTGATTAGGGGGAGTAGTGTATATACCAGAGCAAGCCAAAAGGAAAACAAATGGAGTAATGAAATGGAAAACTCTTCAGAGTGATATATGGTTAGAGCTTTCTTCATCAGTGTCTTTACATCTCACATTCAGGCCAAAAGGAGAGTGTTCTGCAGCAGCCGCTCACAGGAGAAGTATCAGGTTACATCACAGTAAAATGAACAGTGTCTGTCAGGAACACGTCAGTTAGCATCCTTCTTGTCCCGCCCTCTTTTGTTTTACATACATTTCGCTCCCACCTTTTGACAGTAAGGCAGGGAGACAAGAGGTAAAAGAAGGGGAAAGTAGGGGGGAGTGAAGGTGTGTCTTTGGGATGAAAGGAATGCAAGGTCACAGAAGGAGTGGGGGTCACTGCCCTCTGTGGGGGCTGCAATCCTTGTGTCATGGTCAGTGATTTGCCATGTCACTTGATCTGCAAACAGTAATCCCCTCCATGTTGTTTAGGCAAGCCTGGGAAATAACGGTATACATAATAAGGATACAAAAATATACGTTGTACAACTTTGAAGTGATTATGTAACACGGCAAAACATATTTAGGTTGTCTTCTCTCCGTACTTGGTGTTATAAATTGTCTTTTGCAAGATACAGAAAATATATAATGTAATCAGGCTTAGGTGTACTGGAATACATGTAACAGGATTACATAATCAGGACGCTTAAAAGAGGTAACTGCAGTTACATAACAAAAAGACGTAATCAGATTTCAGTTCAGATTTTACTTTTGCTTTTTTAAACTGAAGTTATGTGCTCATGTGTTGTATTGTTGGTGTATAAGCTACTGCCTGAATATGCTTGATGAAAGGAAGGTTTTTCTATCAATAGATTCTCTGAGCAGAGGACACACTTTTGATACTAAATATATTGGCTTCTTCTTTTTAGGTTTCCATTGTCATAATTCACTTAAAGGGGTTTTCACACCAATGCGGTTCCAGGGCCGGTTCGGAGCTAGAGCCTGAAAAGCACAGTTTTTTCCTGTTCACACCGCAGCGGAGCCGCCTCTGAGCTCCGGAATCCGGTTCGTTTCAAGCACCAAACAATTGTCGGTCTAGAAGCAAGAACCGCATACGTCATGCTTACGTCGGAGGGGGGCGAGATTAACCTGAGCTAACAGTTAAAGGCGAGTATGGCAAATGAAAGTTGTAACAAGCAGTAGTGCTGAGCAAAGTGACTAGAAGGGAACCACCCACTTCTAAAAAAAAAAAAACACACTTTATAAAGTCAGGCAACACTAACCAGGCTTCGTGTGATTCTGTTTATTTGTACCTTACTTTGACCATCCGTTCTCTGTTATTGATCATTGTGGAGAGAGGCAGACGTTTTGTATGATAGCAGCTATCGGATGGAATCAATACATGGGCTGCACAGGTTGTCGTGTCCGACTATCACAAGTAGAATCATAATGAAAAATACGCCGGTAAAATGTGCCTGTAGAAAACGGTTTATGCCACAATAGGATAACAACAAGTAGTCAAGATAGTCAGTTTAGCTTCGATTGCTATGCATACATCACCCATTTTATACCAGGGGCCTGTACTACGAAGCTGGTTCAACCTAACCTGGATATGTTTGAGTTAGCCGGTTGGCCTAATCCAAAACATACGCGCTCTCGCTAAACGGTACTACGACGCGGGTTATCAAGTGGATCGCTCAAGCCAGCCGTGTCCTATCTAGTTAGGTGCGTGTTCACATGAAAAGGGTAGTATTTGGATCATTCGACCAATCACAAACATGGAGAAGCATACTGACAGCGCAGCGTCATACTTCCTGAATGAAAAGTCAACTATAATATTAGACATATGAAGAAGTTAAACTTTAAACATCCATGACTTAAACACTTTATCCAGGATAAAAGCCACATAGCTGCACCTGCAAGGTGAATACAGCTGGGAACAGAAAAAGTGTTTGAATGCGTACATTAACAGGTTTATGATATCACTGCCCGTCTAAGACACGATCTGACTTTAATTACATTTGACTCGAGTGTTTCGTCAACTTAATGTGTTGCTTAAAATAATACTTCTGCATACAGTATGTGACACTGAGTGTTGCACGGCCCGATACGGCTCAGCTGACTCAGATAAGGAAATATATGATACATTATGATGTGATATGCCGCGGACTGTTCTTAATGTTACTCTGATCCGGTTACTTATGTTGTGGCAGATATTTAAGTAAGCTTTCTTAACGCTAATGTTATAATAGTCAGATTGCTCTGAAGATGGGAGGTGATATTCTATTAATGTTCACGTTCACACAGTCGGTGATTTTTGCCGGCCGTCTTTCCTGCAACGGCAGCTTTTCTGTATTTCCTTTCTCCTGTAATATGACTTGATCGCTTTAAACTCCGCACACTGAGCTCTGATTGGTCAGCAGGCAGTGCTTTCACTGAGTTGATCTCTTAGCCTGCAACCTAACCTGGTCCTGACCAGGTTAGCCGCTAAGCATAAGTTACCATGGATATCTAGCCTGCTAAAAAGAGAACCAGCTTCGTAGGACCGGAAAGCCTGAGTTTTCCCTGAATTTAGCCGGCTAAGCGAAAATCCTGCTTCGTAGTATACCCCCCAGAGAAACTTTAATAACAGCGTTGTGATGCCAAACAGCGTCTATTCAGACTGAAACACATTCACTTATGGGGAATTGGGGATATTTACCAACTGCTTGTGTGACAGACAGTGAATACTTTACAGCGGACGCTGCTGTGTGAGGTAACCCGGAGCTAACGGGAGAATAAACTCCCGTGGAAGAGCAGCACTGCAGCGGTCGGTAAATGCTGCAGAAACACATTAATAAACAATGAACCACGGCACTCTGGAGCAAAGTATAAGGTTGGAGAAGTCGTTATTTAATTGAATCTGGCTTCGTATGATTAAAAGCAACACGATCATCGACCCAACGCAGTCCTCCATTGTTGTTGTAGTGAGCGCCGTAACCCGGCTGGGGAGAAAATCAACGACGTAAACGGTGACGTCATGACGCAGCAGCACCAGTTGGGCTCTGGGCAGTGCGAACAAAACGGGGGCTGAAAAGAAAAAATGATTTCAAACCAGAAAAGCTCAAGCACGGAGCTAGAACGGGAATCGCGTTGGTGTGAAAGCCCTAAAAGAGGACATTTTATGCTCATTTTCAGGTTGATCATGTTGTATCATGTCTCCATGCTTTAATGTTCAAAAAGCTCTTTATTTTTATACTGCCTGTGCTGCAGCACCTCTTTTCACCCTCTGTCTGAAACCAGAGCCCAGTCTGCTCTGATTGGTTAGCTGGCCGGCTCTGTTGTGATTGGTCAACCGCCAAGAGATGTCCAGCCCCCCCCCCCCGCCTTAGCCTATTACGTACAATGTGTTGGAGAGCTAGCCAATAGAAGCGCGACTGTTCCATAGTGATGTCACTATGTTAAAAAGTTAAAAGTAAAGAGTGGAGTCCAATGGAGGCTTTTCAGACAGGGAGGGAGTGTGTGGGAGAGAAACTCCCACACACTCCCTGTTTTTGTATCATTTACATGCAAAAAAAGTAATGCTGTCAAAATGATCGCGTTAACGGCGCTAATTAATTTTTTGAATTAATTGCGTTAAAATATTTTACGCATGTGCAGAATGGCCCGCCCCATACATCCCACCAGTGGCAGCACTGGGGTAGGCTACAGCCATACCAAGAAATGGCTTAGCCCCACCATGAAAAATGATGTTAAAGTAAGCAAAATAAAGTCCGCCAACTCGCGGAGTAAATTGCACAGACAGCAGTTAGTAAGATTGATTTCAGTAGCCACTTGTCTGGAAATACCGAAGACTAGAAACGGTTTTGAAAACTTTTGTCAAGATAACGGCGTGGTGTTGTTGCAGGAAGTCCCGACGGAGAATACGTTTGCTGTAGTAAATCTCTATATACATCGATACAACATTACGTAATGAAATAAGACCCCACGGTTTGATGATTGATAGGTGTGTGGGCTGTCTTTCATTTTTGACACACAGAACAATGTTACAATAAACATACATACACGTATAGGCTACTGTATGTTAAATGGATATATCCGCCTTCTTTCATTTATCTTTCCATTCCCACAACAATATACATAAAGAAATGGCATATTTTGGACATAGTTCGAATGGTGATTAATCATGATTAATTCATTTTTAAGCTGTGATTAATCTGATTAAACATTTTAATCGTTTGACAGCCCTAAAAAAAAGCCATACAGTATATACTACATGGGATTTTGTATTAACTTGCATTGCATTTCATTCCGAGGTAATCCAAAATAATGAAAAGTAATCAGGATACATTATTGTGATATTTAGGTTGGGTTACTCATCACATTTTCTTTTACAGGTAAATTGTTTTTGTAATGTTACCTAAGGAGCAATTGAGGAATATGCCCTATAACCTTTGGATAATGCTTATGTTTTCCCAGACTAAACATCTTGTTGACCGGTGAGGGGGAATGTCAGAACCCCGAGTCATGCTGAGGCCTTGGTTCCCAGCGCTGACACAGGGGCAAGAATGCAGAGTGGAGGAATGTTAGCAGAGAGAGTAACAAAGAGTAGTGTGACGCTGAGGGGCTGCATGGTCAGCTGGGGGGTTTGGCCCGGACCACCAACTTGTTTACATCCAGGACCGGGACAGAGAAAACATTTCTACATTTACTGCTGCTCTGAGTCTGCTGAG